CGGTCATTGAAAATGAAAAACTACTTTTGATGTTTAATAAAAATATGGGATGACCTTTATTCTTTTATACTCTATCTAATTATTGTTGTTCTCACTAAAAATAATGAATTTCTCTCTAATTTAATATTAAATATAATATAATATATTTAATATAAAACATTATATTTTCTATACACATATCAAATCGTTTAAATAGTTTAGTAATTTTCATTTAAAAAAAAAGAAGTATTGAATTTGAACCAATTCTAAACTTTCACATTCACAATTATTTCTAGCAACTTGGTTGATATTAAAATAAATTGAAATATTTTATTTATGCATTAAAAATGAGAAGAAGAAAATTACATAATTATAATAATTAACTAGAATAAACATTTTTTTTTAATTTTTTTATTATAAATTAGCTACATCGTGAAATGCATAAAGTGCAAATGAATGAAGAAATGTGTACTGATCATGCCGTTTGCCTTTGGTGAGAAAGGGTGGTTATGATAAGGTCTATCTATAATTAAATTAGCCTTAAATGTTCAGACTTCCTTTAGAAACGAATCGAATGATATTCCATTTTAAAAATCCTACTAGTTGTCAACTTATGCGGACAAATGCAACTAATCATATTGTATTGATTCGAATTGAAATTGAGGTTAAGTATTTCTATTTTGAGGAGATTAAGACATTTTAGACGAGTATACCTTTTTCTTTTACAGATTTAGATGAATGTACTTACAAAATTTGACTTATTTATTTTTTCATTATATATATAATAGTTTATTTCTATTAAAAAAATTGATTATTTTCGAATTTACACATTAAGATATGCAATAGTTACTAATGACTAGTTGTTTTTGTTTTTGTTTTTCCTACAACAATGATAAAATAGGTTAAATTTTTTTACTCTTACTAACTATGATTTAGGATAGGGATGGCAAAAATACCCGCACCCGCGGGTATCTGTGGATAAAATCCGCTACGGATAATAAATGGATAGGCTAATTGGGTACCCGCGGATAATGGGAACGGATAATTTTTTACCTGTTTATAAATGGGGCGGGGGCGGGTGATGATATCCATACCGCGGGTACCCGTTTAATATTATTTCTTAAATATCCTAATTATCCTTGTACTACATAACCCTAAAACTACACTCTCTCATCTTATTTTCTTACAAAAGTGAGGTTGATGAAGTTATCGACATGTGTTAAGCATGTTATAAAATTATGTTGAATGTAATTTGATTAATTTTCTAGCTTTGATTGGACCAATAAGATTTATGTATTTTAAGTTGTTTATTTTCATTTGGAATTATGAGATTAAATTATTGTAGTTTTGTAACGAGACTTTAACTTACTTGTGAGATTGATGTATTTTAAGTTATTGATTATCTTGAATTTTTATTATTATTTTAACAAAATTAACGTTAAATAAAAGTTCAAAATTAACATTGAATTTTTATTTTTAATATTTCAATGACATTAAAATATAAACTTAAAATTATTTGTAATATAATTTTTTTAATTTCTTAAAAATTTATAAATATCTATGGATATCCGTGGATATCCGTGTATATTCAAGAAATTCATGGATACCCGCGCGGATATGGGGTGAGTATGAGACCAATTTTTATTCAGTGGGGCGGGGCAGGTTTACTATTACCCGCCCCCATGGGCCCCATTGCCATCCCTAATTTAAGATGAGATTTAATTTTTCTATATTTTATATTCTTAAATTTGTGTTAAAATAAAATAAGTGATTTATAATTTTCAAAGTCGTTGATTCAAGGCTTGTATGAAAATTTGTTTTATCCTAATGTAAACTTTTTTATATATATTTTTTTAAAAAATTGCCCATGTTTTTTCTTTTTTCCAATACCTTTATCTTACTGAAATGAAACAAATAAGTAAATTAAATTTTAATAAATGTATATTTGTTGTCCATTGTTGCTATCATTTTATTTGAGGAACGTTGAAAGCAATGCATCGATTAATTTATTTTTTTCCTCATTTTTTTTTTCAAACGAACACACGATTGCGAACGACCTAACCTAACACACTTATTGGCTCCTGGTTGGGAAAAAGACTTTGTCTAACTGCTGCACCATAAAGTATGAGAAAGAAAACACACACATTCACATGCTCTGTTAGTCCATTTTTTAGATGAAGTGTGAAATAATTGAAAAAAGAAAAATAAAATAAAATAATGTTGTTTAGATAAATAAAAATAAAATAAAAAATTTACTTGTTTAAAAAATTAAAATAGAGAGTATAAATAAATAAATAAATTGTATAATTCTTTTTTACCAATTAAAGAATTAAATTTAACTTTAAGTTTTTACTTTTACATATTTCTCTTAATGTAAACTGTTTATTTTTTTTTATACTTTTTTTATATTAAAAAATGCTTTATTTTCAAACAATTAAAGTAGCAAAAATAAAAATAAAAATAAAGAGCCACCAAATTCGTGAATGAAAATGTGAAGCGTTGATAAGTTAGTATCTGGAAGAAGAAATTTTGGGAAAAAGTATCTCGACATGCATTTATTAAGTTTTACTAACTAGAGGTGGACGTTAATGACATTGTTAATTAGGATTGAACATAAGTCTAAACCAATTTAATTATCTAATGAATTTCAACCAAAGGAAAAAAAAAAGTTTAAACTATTGGATTGATTGAAATTAAAAATATACAAATTTGGAAAGTTATAATTGGATCTCATTATAGTGGAGTCAATTTGATTTCAAATGAAGACTACAAAATAAAAACACTAATCCGATTAAAATTGATCGATTCAAATGAGAATAAGTTTGATAATTTTATTATTATTGACTTCATATTACTCATAACTATTTGAATATAATGTTTAAATATTTTGTCAAAGTCATTTTGATCATATAATGACTTATCGAAAATGTAAACTCGGTCATAAATATTATCGAGTTAATATATTGATATGAATTTTGGTCACATAAATTATCAATAATATTGGTATAACACATTGATCATAAGGCTTAAATAAAAAAGATAGTTCAATTATGTAATAATCACGACATGATAATCATGATAATTATCTTATGAAAAATGAGCATCTAATTACGATTTAGAAGGAAAATATGTGTAATATAATATAAGAAAAAAAAAACATGTCAAACTAATTTGATCATTGAAATCTTTTTTGTAGGTAGTAAGTACCTTCCCAACGCGGAATCAAGAGAAAAGATCATATTTTTTAACATCATATTATAAGAAGAAAAATGAGTCTTACTTAACTACCTCAATAACTAAGCTAACCCCTAATAAAAACACGTTTTTTTTTATATATAGTAATCTTTTATGGACATGATATTTAATGTGTCATATTGTCATTAGTTAATAAATCCTTAATTTCTATTATTATTCATCCAAACTTGACCAAAAAGTAAATACAAATTTAGAAATTGTTTGTATTATTGTTATAATTATTTTGCCAATTTTCCTTCTTTGAGAGATTAACTTGTTGGTACCTCACACTTTCGGTAGAAAGAAATTTTTTTATAAAAATTATTATGATAACTATAGTATTCAAATCAAGAATATTAGGTATGCTATTTCAATCTTAAAATATTTATAATACAATAAAATTAACTTTTTAACATGTATTTTTTTTCCAATACACAAAATTCAAAATTGTAACCTTATTTGTCCTATAAAATATTAAATATAGGACCATATTTAAAAAAAATTAAAATCTAACATTTCAACTATTAATTCTTAACCTTATTCGTCCTATAAACTATTAAATATAGGGCCATATTTAAAAAAAAAAATCTAATATTTTAACTATTAATTCCTATATATTAAACTTATTCATGCGAGAATTTTTTTAAGAATTTTTATTCGATGAGAAAGTCTTTAAATTTTTTTAATTTATTATCTAATTTAAATTTTATTTATCATAATTATTTATAAATTAATTTTTAATATTTTAAAATAAATCATAAATAAATAAAAATAATTTTGTGTTGCAATTTAAATTATTTATTATAAATTTAAGATATAATTTATAAATTTAAATATGTTATTTATTTGTATATATAACTTATTATGAACTAGTATTTTAATACGTGAAATGTATATATTAAAATATTATCACTTATACTTCTATATATAAGACTTAAATACTTAATTTATTAAAATTATAAAAAAATCATTAATTTAGTTAATAATAATTAATATATTTTATATTATTTTTTCAAAATTGTCTTCATCAAAATTCTTTTAATTAATATTTTTCTTTTTATTTAACTAATTAAAATGCATGTGATTATTATTTCTCTCTCATATTTAACGTTTCTTACTTTTTTAATCAATGAAAAAAATAAATAAATAAATAAATAAATATATATATATTTAAAGAGATTATAATTAATATATTCTATTACATTAAAAGAATATATTTTAATTATAAATATTTTAATATAAAAATAATTAATACATAAAGTATTATGAATTAAATAACAAATAATTGATTTGAGTCGGTCTTCTACATAGGTATGAAAGTATTAATCACCCCACAGCCTCTTAGTTCAGGTTTCACCATTTACCCTTTCAATCACAGGAAACAGGTACTACAATACAAGCAAATTCAAGAGGAGCATATTAACTAAAAGGGGGCAAGAAAAACGACCTCAACGGATAAATTCACAAGTAAAAAATTTAAAAAGGTTAAAATAGATTTATAATTCTTTATTTAAATTTAAATTTAAAAATTTCACTTCAATTCCTGAAGTATCATGTTAGAACAACTAGATCCTTTGTTAAGACACATTGAGACACATGGTGAACCAAAATTAACCCTATTAGTATAGAAACTGGGAAAAAAAACTAATTTAAGGAAGATAAACAATTTAAAGAAATGAAAGTAAAGATTTTAAAAAAAATTAAGAAAGAAAGTAAAACCAATAATTAAAAAAAGACAAGAAAAATCTATTTTAGCGGAGATAAAAAGCACCCAGAAAATGAAAAAGTGTGTGTTTTAACTTTTAAACGTCGCGTGCGGGAAGGGTCACTGGACCACCTTGTTGTCTTGGCAACGTATCGTTAGGAACGAGACCAGACAACAGAGAGGAAGACCCCAAAATATATTTTTTATTTCCCAAAACTCAAAACAATAAATAAATAAATAAATAAATAATAAACGAGAAATCAAGGAAAGGAACAGAGCACAATACAAGGGAAAATCCTGCGATTTCGAAGCAGAAGAAGGACAAGAACAAAAAGCGTTGGTATTCAGCATCCTTATGCATACCAACAAGACACGCTTTTTTGTTCAATCTCCATAGCGGGTGGTAATTCCCGTAACTCCCGGAGCCCTTTCTCCGATGCGTTTCTCGTCGCTACTTTCATTTCTATTGTGTTTTCTTATTTTCCCTATTCTGTTTTCTTATGCCCCAATTTGTTTTCTTTTTGCCACACGCACGCAATTAGGCTCGGAATTCTCAACTGGGTTTTCTTTTTTTAATTTTGTTCTATTTGTTTATTTGCGTGGTTTCAAATTTTCACATCTTGTATTTTTTGTTTCCTCCCTCTGATTGGTGATGGTTTTGAACGTATTTGTTCAGATTCGTCTGCATTTGCCCGTCATGTGCTTGATTTTTGTTGCTCTGTGGATTGGTTTTTGCATATAATAAATTGGTATATGGTTGTTGTTTGAGATGTTGCTATTATTTTTTTTCCTTTTTATAATGTTTAGTTCTGGGTTTTGATTGGATGGATTGAGTAGATAAGGTAGGCAAAGCCAACCTAACTACTTATGCAGCTTAATTCAATTTCTGGGTTCATCTTTTATATCTGTAATTTTCTGTCTTTTTTTTTATTTTATTTTTTTAATCTGTTTGATGGATAATTTAAATGAGGGAAGAGGTAAGGGACGGTGATCTCTATCATGATTCAGTTTTGTGAAAAATTTAAGGCGCAGGAACTGCAAAATGCCATTTAGCAATAGAATTCGTTTGCTTTAACAACATTGCATTAGAAAACAAAGAGCAAGATGAGGGTCAATGTTAGTGAATAGGGAGAGATGTCCAATTCTGCAACAGGTCTGCAAAGTTATCTGGGTATGGATTTTCCTAGATACGCAGTAAAATGAGCCTCCTGTGGCCTTGGGGGCTCCAAGAAGAAATTATTGTTTCTTTGTTGTATCTACTCTCCTCAAGCTCGAGCAATTTTGAGCTTTCAACATATAATTTAACAATTTCTTGTTAATTTAGCAGTTGGACTGACAGATTGTTTGGTAACAAATATATGACATACTTTTCTTCCTATAAACATGTAGTGATTTGGCATACGTTTCTTTTATGTTTTAATGACGATAAATACTGACTTCTTTTAATTTTTATAATATATGGAAATTGTCATTTATTCTTCTTATAGTGGGATAAGACTTTGTTGTTGTTGTGAAAACTGTCGTTTATTAATTAATTTATCCATGTTAGCATGTATTGCATTTGGCAGTGAAGGTCCTGTTTGCTGATATGCATTTTGGTGTAATTGTCTAACATGTTCTTTTCATGTTTTAGACATATCTTTTCTTGATTCACAAATCATGATTGATACTGCTAAAAGAAAATTACTATTTACATGATGTTTTCCAAGAATATTAAAACAGTCAAATTTGCACTTAATCTAGTTACTATTGCATGTGAAAATAGCAATCACATCTTGATTGGTCTTGCATGTTTCTTTCTCTCTCTTCTCTCCCATTTGGACTAAAGAATATCAAAGTTTGATTACAATAGTATCTACTATGCAAGTTCTTATGCATTGACCATTTAACCGTAATAACAGATGTAGCAGGCCATAAAAGTAAGAACTCTGCTTCCTTGTCATCTGGAAAGAAATACTGTATACCTGGGTTAGGAATGGCTCCTGGAAGCAGTGTTTTCAAAGAAGTTCTTGAATTTCACCTGATGTCTTCAGATTATGAGACAGGCAAGGCTAAATCTGAGGCCAAGAGTAATGGTGCATCTACAAAATCTAGCGTTGGCTTGAATGGAAAGAGCGGAGTTAATTCAAATAATGGCGTGTACGAATTACTTGGATGTCCTGTTTGCAAGAATTTAATGTATCCCCCAATTCATCAGGTGCAGTGCTTGCAATTTCTTATTTTGGGGGTCTGTGTTTGAAAAACTTTTCTTGTAATTAAGTATGAGAATTGGTTAGATCAAGCTAGACTTTGAATATAAAGGTCAGACTTATTTTATAAAATTAAAGCCTAAACTTGATTTATTATCTTTCATAGATTTTTTTTGTAAGTCTGGTTTGACATTTTTAAAAGCCTAGCTTGACCTATTAATCTATTTAAAAGTCCATTTTACATTAATAATATTAAATAGGCTAATAAATTTGATTTTAAATAACCCAACAATTATACTTTTAAATACATGTGTGATTTTTTTATTTGCATTATACAAAATAGTTTACTCTATTATTAAAATTTAGAGTTTAAAATAAAAATAGAAAACTAACTTAAGAGATGCATACCCTTGTACATTAAACATACACTCATGCATAGGCTGTAATGAAAAAAGATAGTCTTATAAAATAAAAAAAAAAACTTTCTAATTATTCTCTGTATTTCATTTGAAGTATTCTATATAACCAACTATAAGTTGAAGGAAAGTAGTGGAAATGTCAAAAATATTGATAATTTGATTTTTTGTATTACAAATTTATTAATTTAATTATATTGTTAATAATGTAATATATATATATATATATATATATTATTTTTTATTAGATTGCATAGATAAATAAGTTAACCTATTAGACTTAACAGACTTTTTTTTTATAAGCTCAAATCCAGTCATTTTAAATAAATAGACTTTTTTAAAAGTCTAAACTTGGACCTTTTTATTAAATAGGCTAGATCAGGTCATACTTTAAACAGACTAGGTCGTAAGCTGTTGATTAAGGTGTGACATTCTCATCACTACTTGTAACATGATGCACACATGAAATAGATATAGACATGTGAATTGTGGCATTGTGATTTTTATCTCCATAGTCCTTAGGATGATTGCATTTGAAGAGAATATCACTTGTGTACATATCTTTCACTGCAAAGGCTGCACGTTGCAGCTTAAAGCTTGTGCACTTAACTTTAGTATCCTTAACTTCCTGGACAATGTGGGATAAGTTTAATTATTGATCTCGATGGAGAGACATGATGCAGTGATCAGCATGAACAAATTTAATATCTTGAATCTTTGTGGTTGGTTGTAATTATCATAGTTATCTATTTAATTTTTTTGCAATGTGAGTTTCATGATACTTATCCATCCAAATTTGCTCTGTATGTTCTGTTGTTAATTTTCTCATTAACGTAAGTGAATATTTTGGAGTATACCAAGCAATGACTAGTAGATAAAAACCTTAAGTTTATAGCCTGTTGCAGTCACTTTCTTTTGAGTTTGATTTGGATACCCTGCCCGTCCTGCTAAAGCAAAGGTCAGGAATGAGACTTGCTGATTCTAAGCCTATATTTATAAATTACAGTTGGATGGCTTATGCTAAGGACATTTTAGTTGAGATTGACACTCAAGTGGGTAAGAACTAAGAAAGAGACGTAAGAAGACAATGTGAAAAACATTGACTTTAGGTTGTTCTAATGTAGTATTCCTCATATATTGTGCTGTCTATTCTATTGAGAGGAATGTTGGATTATTATAGATGGTTATTAAAACCTGCTGAAAGTCTGAAACTCTTTAATAATTATTTTCACTTCACATGCTTCTTGTGAATTTATCCTGTCTTGTAATTTTCTTCTAAATTTCTAATATTTCGCACATGGCTGCATTGTGTTTTTCAGTGCCCAAATGGCCATACACTCTGTTCCAATTGTAAAATTGAAGTCCATAATCTTTGCCCATCCTGCCATCATGATCTTGGGAATATAAGGTGTCTGGCTTTGGAGAAAGTTGCAGAATCTCTGGAGCTTCCTTGCAGATATCAGAGTCTAGGTTGTCATGATATATTTCCGTACTATACTAAGTTAAAGCATGAACAAAGTTGTGGATTTCGTCCATACAATTGCCCCTATGCTGGATCTGAGTGCTCTGTGATGGGTGACATTCCAACTCTTGTTGCCCATCTCAAGGATGATCACAAGGTTGACATGCATGACGGGTGCACCTTTAATCATCGATATGTCAAAGCAAACCCACATGAAGTTGAAAATGCCACATGGATGCTAACTGTAAGTTATTTAATGAATTTATAATCGCTGGACTGTATGATGATTTGATGTACTATTTCTCATGGATTGGGATTTTTATACGTTTTTTTTTTATTTAATCAGTAAAGTTTGATGTCCTATCTCCTGATGTGCAACATTTAATGTTATGTCTGCACATGGCCATGCGTTTGTTTTAAATAAGAAATCTACTCATTGACTATTTTTAATTCTCTGCAAGTAATGTTGAGAATCGGTTACTTAGTTACATTTTCTAAGAAGCAGCTCACAAAGTATAATCATGGGTCACATGACTGACACGTAAGCATATACTCTGTTGACTTTTGATGAATAATTTGAACACATGGAATTTAGTTGCCGGAAGGGATTTTTCTTCTATGATTTGTTTTTGAGCATTTCTTCAAGTCTAAGCTAATATATGGATCCACCTTTCGCTTTGTGAATACATGCACGTCTTGACAAATTTTATCGTGACCTCATGATGTTAGTTTCTAGCACATGTCTAGTTTTCTTTTATTGATAGGATTACAATGACACCAACATGGTTAAACATAAGACTCTACATACTACTACTTAAATCTCCCACCACTAAATCGACTCTAGTGGTTCAGACATGTCTAATATAATGAACCCTACTTGAAATGTCGAAGTTTCTTGCTTGCAGGTTTTTAATAGTTTTGGAAGGCATTTCTGCTTGCACTTTGAGGCGTACCAGCTTGGCACAGCTCCAGTTTACATGGCTTTCTTACGGTTCATGGGTGATGACAATGAAGCCAAGAAATTCAGCTACAGCTTGGAAGTTGGTGCAAATGGCCGGAAACTTATATGGCAAGGAATTCCAAGGAGCATTCGGGATAGTCATAGAAAAGTTCGAGATAGTCAAGATGGACTAATAATTCAGAGGAACCTAGCACTTTATTTTTCTGGTGGAGAAAAACAAGAGTTGAAGCTGAGAATCACTGGTCGTATATGGAGAGAAGATTGAGAGATGTAAATATAAAATATTAGAGAAGTAACGTTTGTTTTGAGATTTTTGCTCTCTGGCAAAGATAGCAGCACCATGTATGTCTGTCTGCTTATCTCTCAATAGTTTTCTTTTTCATCTCCGTATAGCTTGTGTCTTAGTCGTGGGGGTTACTTTCAATTTGCCTCGGCCTTCTTTTGTTCTTGGACAAAATTATGTGCTTCTGAATATTGAAAATCAAACTTACCCTGGTAAGTTTTTTATGTTACTTTGGTGCACTGAAGTTATTCTCTAGTTAATACTGAAGAGACTATTAACTTTCAAACCTAAAGGTCAATATTCCGGGAAAGAATCAAGAAATTGCGTAAAGGTGAATCAGACTAATAACTTTCTTGCATGGTTGTCAAAGTATTTTTTCTACCGAAAAAAAAAAATCAACTTTTAAAAGCTCAAGATGAAGTGGCATTGTGGTGAAGTAAAACTAGAATAAACATAACAAAATCTGATGAATGCCTCGGAGTGATTATCCGAAAAATAGTATTTTAAACTAGTATCATATATGGATAATAATGATATTAGTATAATTTACCAATATTGAAAATAATGATTAATCTTTTTGGAGAGTCTGATCGCTTATAAAGTGAGATAAATACATACTTTTACATGATTGAATTATATAATAAATAAATGATTTTGAAAATATAATTTATATTATAATTAAAATTTCTAATAAATAAGTACTTCTGAATAAAGAAATTATACTTTGAATTTATAACACATAATATACAGTTTGATATAAGGTTATTTTTGGCTACAATATACAAGGTTAATTTTATCTATTATTAATTTTAAAAAAGTTATTGAAATTTAATTTAAAAATAGACATTAAAATAGAGATTTTTTTTTACTAGTTAGCTGGATATATATGAAATGTGCTTCCAAGTAGAGAAATATACAATACCGGGAATGTATATATAAGGGAGTGAAGGATCAAAATCTCACTTTTGAAGTTATATATTCTAATTTATAATATTAAACTTTTACTGTCTTTTAAATTATATATATATATATATATATAAATGATTATATTATTATTAAATACTATTTATCAATATTACGTTAAGTTAAATACTTTGGAATTATAACTAAAGAGTTGGATATAAGTGTGATTAATGTGTTATACAAAAGCTCAATTCTTGATAAAAATAATTCTTAATCAGGTTTTACTTATCTCATGATCAACCAAATTAGTTTAAAGTAAATTCTTAAGAGATCGATGCAAAATAAAAAAAAAATTTGCATCTATAATTTTATAACATTTACCATCCATCATAAATTACTTTTATATGACTTTTAAAATAAATAATAATTATAAAAGTCAATAAACCTATCAAACATAATATTATATAACACAAGTAGAAAATCTTATAAAGAGGATCTAGTAGATACTTAATTAACTTTAATCCTAACTAATCAACTCCAACTTTTGCTAATTTGAGTATTTGAGTTATTACAAATATCCTCTCTAATCTTATCTCACTTGTAAACTATCATAAAAATGATTAGTCTTTACTTGATTTACATATAGAGTTATAAGACTCAACCCAATTCAACTCAGTTACTTACCCAAATCTATCTTAATTTAATTCATAAGCTATTAACTTTATTTAGGTTTAAAGATTATTTAAGGCCTAAAAAATTGACATGATCAAAATTTAAGGTTAGGTCAAACATAACCCTATTCCAATCTCGTCCTACTTACGTTTAACTTTATACTCATTATTATGTGTGTTTAGAAGTGCATTGGAACAACGTTGAACAAATATTTTGCAATTTTCAATGTACAAGCTGAAACACATTTTATATCTTTGTAGTACTTATTAATTTCTATGTGAGTTATGAATTGAATAAAACATTTTAGTTTAGTTGGATACAACTTTAATCCAAACACCCTTTTATGTCTTTGTAGTACATTTCATTTTTTTTATGTTTTACCGAAAAACTCTAGCCTATTAATTTTTTTGCCTATATTTTCGAAATTAATGTAATTTTTTTTGTGAGATTATGAGTAACTGTCATTTAATTTTATATAATATCATGTTTAATGTTAACAAAAATAAATTATTCTTGAAATTCTAATTATGTTTAGAGAGAAACAAATTATATACTGGTAATATAAAATGATTTTACTATGTTATTTAATTACAATGATTATCTTAAAAGTCATACCAAAGATGACTTTTAATTGGTTGTTAACGTAATTTTTTTTCTTACATTATATTAATAGAAAGTGAAAATTTATATTACATATGTTTTGATTTAATCCAGTTCTATGTTAAATAGTCTCGTCCTTCTATGTTAAATAGTCTCGTCCTAGTTTAACTAATAATCATCTTATTTGAGTTGAAGGACAAATTTAAATATAAAAATAAGCCCAATCGAAATTTGGAGTTGGTTAGTGTCAAACATAACGTAACTCAACATGTTACTTGTTCACCCTTATTTGGAAGTTGGTAAAAGGCAAATGGTTCATTGTCTTCGGCCCAAATGAATAAATATACACCGATTATGTAAAATGTATGACTGTAAAAAGAATCATCATATATACACTTCCTTTTTTTTTTTATAAGTACACCTTTTTTTTAATAAATTTTAAAAAATTCTTAATTTTTATTATTTTTAATTTTTTTTAATTTTACACTCCTAATATTTAATTTAACATTTTTTTACATACCTCTTTTCCTTATTTTCATATGCATTCCCTTAATTTTTCTTCATCTCCACCTATTTTGGTAGGTAATTTTAATTTTTTAAATTTTATATTATTCTTTTTCCCTTCCTCCTTCAAATTTCTCACTGATTTCACTATCTCATAGTACTCTAGAATAGTAAAAATGTCTTTTTCATAACACTAAACTTAATGTTAAGATTTTTAGAGGGGTGAAAGGAAAGAAAGTGTTGGAGGAAAAAATGTGTCTAGTTTCGAGGAAGCTACACGTACCTATAATGTTGTCGCCTACCAGTTCTATGATTTGAGTGCATGTGAAAAAGTGAAAGAGGTGAGAAAATAAGAGAGTAATTTAAAAATCGAGAGAACTAAAACTATCCACTGAAAAAGGTGAAGAATTAGAGGAAGACAAAATGGTGCATATGAAAACTGGAAAAGAGAAGGAATGAGGTGTGTGAAAAGAAAAAATAGTAAATTAAAAATTATAAATATAAAATTAAAAATTTTAAAAATAAAAAAAAAATTATAGATATTTTAGGTTTTTTTTAGAAAAATAAAAGAAGAGTATTTATATGTAAAAAAAAGAGGTATATATATCATTAGCCATGTAAAAAATGGTCAAGAGCAATGAGTCCACTTGGGTTACATAAAAAAAAACTTACAAAAATAATTGAGGGCGGATGATATATACACTTCCATTTTTTTATACATACACCTCCTTTTTTAAAAAAATATTAAATTTCTAAATTATCCTTAATATTATTTGAAATAAAAAAATTATCCTGGAAATTTTTTTTCGGAGGTTTATTTGTACATAATTATGGAAAGTTCTTTCCGGAATACTAAAATTACTATTCTGGAAATAACTTTCCGTCAGAATAATTCTGGAAAGTACTTTCCGTAACACTAAAATTATTATTGTGGAAAGTTCTTTCCGGAATTATGGTAACAAATACACACACTGTTAATATTCCGGAAAGAATTTTTCGCAATAGTAATTCTAGTGTTACGGAAAGTATTTTCCATAATTATTTTGACGGAAAGTTATTTCCGGAATAGTAATTTTAGTATTCTGGAAAGTACTTTCTGTAATTATTCTGACGGAAAGTTCTTTTGGGAAGGCTCATGATATATACACCTCGTGTTTTTTTTTATAAGTACACCTTCTTTATTTTTTTAAAAAAATTATAAAATATTATATATATATTTTTTAATTTTATACCTTTAACTTTCAATTTTTTACTTTTTTCTTTTTTTTCACACATTTTTTTTTCTCTTTCAATTTTTACATGCTACCAAAATAGGTAGGGTGAAAGAAAGATAACAAAGTGCATGTAAAAATTGAAAAAAGAAAAAAAAAAAAGAAAGATCTGTAAAAAAAAGTACTAAATTAAATGTTGTGAATGTAAAATTAAAAAAAAAAAGCAAAAAATTAAGAATATTTTAAAATTTTAATTATTTTTTTTTGAAAAGGAGGTATACTTACATGAAAAAGGAGGTGTATATATGATCAACCATAATTGAGACAATTTAACTTGGCTTAGTGGGCCGAACATGCCAATTATCTGGAGGCCCAAAGTCTTTTAGGCCTATTTAGTATTTAACCTGATTTATTTTTTTGTTTTTGTTTGTAAAAGTTAAATAAAAAAAACAAAATAAAAAGACTAGGTTTGATAATTTTAGGGGGGGTGTATTGGATTAGGATTTTAAAGGACTTTTTTAGTGAAAAAGAATCCTGCGGATTTTAAAAGACTTTGCAGGATTTTCATGACTTTTAAGATTTTGCAGGATTCTACAAGATTTAAAATCAGGATTTTAATGGATTCTACAAGACTTTTAAATCAGGATTTTAATGGATTCTGTGGGATTTTGTGGAGTTTTGACATTTGATAAGATTTAAAAAAAAATTCATACATTCAAATTTAAAAAGAGTCAAAGATAAAATAATTAAAAAAAACAATAATGTCTAGATAAATAATAATAATAATTCTCCATAATATTCTATCATCTTTTTATAGCATCCACTATCAATTGTAACAATT